ATGCTGCTTTGTACTCTTGAAAAGGTATGGGGAGTAGCACTGGTGGAACTGACAAAAATATCCTCCTCATGTCCTCCAAAGAGAGTTTCTACTGTTTTCTATGTCACTAAAACAAACAGAAGGAGCTTCTGTATTCATGAGAGGGAAGGTCTGGGTATGATCAACAGAATAAGAACTAAAAATAGCTATGAAAAATAATCCAAGAAAGCAATTTGGGAAAGAAAGTGAGTGTTTGTGTTTGAGCTAACCAAAAGAGGTTCTCTGGAACTCTCAATATTTTACAAAGTTCAAGGTTATCAAAACAAACATCTTAAACCATTTAAAGAAATACATATAACCAGCTTATGTGGATGAGAAATAGGACTTTATATTTAATGTAACGTCCTAAAAACACAAATGTAAAACAAACTTGGGCAGTGCACACTAACTTAAACACTTTTAAATCTTGCCCTTCTCCACTCATATCACTACACGGAAATGTGTAGAAATACAATATATATTGAAGTAGTATAGTCAAATTTCTAGTGGATCTGGATCTGAATAAATCAGTCATGTGGTGAACCAGTGCAGCACAGGTAGATTGGAATTCACTGTTTTTAGGATATTTTCAGGAAACTGTTGTGTCATATTCCAGACAGAATGAATCAGGTTAGCAGAATGCACACAAGTGACATTTTGTGTTAAATAAACCCTCTTGCAATTTATTTATTTCTATTTTATCTTTGCACTTGATACAGTGCCTTGTTACTAATTATTATTATTAGAAAGAGAGCCAGGTTCCTATCAAATGCATCATAACATCTCACAGTTAGCATACTCGGAGAACAACCCTGACATGGAATACAACAGCTACTACCAAAGTGAACAATTGTTGAAATCTCCAGCCTCAGTCCCATTTGATGTTGTTCCAAATCCTCCACATGGATAAAAGAAGAAACCTCTTCTCGTTAAAAACTGTCTGAATATAAGGCAAATAGTTCAGCCTATGCTCTACGTTATGACATACTATTATCAGGAATCTAGCAAGGTAGTAGAGTACAGAGACAAGTATTGCTTGTCTGGAAGAAAGCCACTTGATTCAACCAGTACAGCCTGTGGACAAAAAGCAGCAATATATCTTATTTTATAGGTCACTGTGTGATTGATTTTTTAAAAAAATTGACAATGATTGCACAGACACCTTCTAAGATTGTGCACGCAAATGTTTCCTGTCTCATCTTCAACTTTGAGAACACCAAGCCCAAAGAGGTATTCATCACACATGACAAACGACGCCAATGAACTCTACTAAAAATACATTGTATGTTATGAGTGATATTTCACATGTAATTTGCAAAATTATATATTCCACTTCAAATGTATCTTGTGCTAATCTGTTTGATGATATCACACATAGTCAAGGCAGCGTATTTTTCAGGAATAACCCATATAAATTAATGCCTTTATTTTGAAATAAAACTGCGTTATTCAGTATGCTTTCCTTTGTAGGAAACTGTGAAAACCAGCTGCATTCAGTTTTGGATAACTTCCTCCTGGTAGCACTCTATAAAAACTCTGGCTTTTTTTGAATTGAAACTCCCTGACCTTCAGCTATGGTGTGTGTGTGGGTGTGTGTGTGTGCGTGCTCACGCGCACACACACACACACACACACACACACACACACACACACACACACGCACACACACACATATAAAAAAGTAAAAAAGGCATGCTGGGGGCTGCAGAGAAAAACATTGGCTGAAGATCAACAGTTAGAATTAAGTTTGGCCACTGAAACAATGGGAAATTGGTGGGTCAACTACTGTATATCAGTTCCACTGATATAATGGGCCTTCTGTAGTTGCAACTAATTATTGGATTCTGCCCATTGGATACAATACACTGGCATGGCTTCAAACTTATGCTTAGTATAGTTTTGTTGGTGCTGAAGGCAAAGGGGTTGGGCAGCAGTTTTCTCCAACTTCCCCTTCCTCTGACAGCTCCAGCGCTCTTTTCCATGTTATTCCAAAGGGCCAGGTAGTCCTTTGGAACAGCATGGAAGTTGGTCCTGGGAGCAGCAGGCTGAAAGAAGTGTAGGAGTAAAACACTACCTTGTCACCTTTCTCCAACAAGAAGCCCCTATAAGATCCCGGTTCCCTCTGCAAATGCAAATAAAATAAAATAAAAATCTAGATCCATTCCTGGATGTTCATTTGTTCCTCTAGAATGAAACATATACCAAGATACTAAACAAATATAGTACTACAACATATACAGTATGTTAGTTTAATAACTAACAGTTCTGCACAGTAGACAAAAACACTTCTAGAATAATTTTCTATGATCTCTTAGTACATAATTTGCTAATATCATTACAGCAGTGCATGAAACATGCACCTGTAGTAGGTAAAGTGGCAGGGGTTTCTAGCAGTACTTGTAGTTAGGGGCTCATTCACACTGTGCCCTAACGACACTATGGCAAACAGCAGTCCATAGTCTTGGTTGAGAGGTAGGGGGTGAGGGGAGGATATCACTGTTGAATAGCAGAGTGAAACAGAACTTTTAGAATTAAGTTCACACTCTCATAATTGTAGTGAAAATTCAAAACTGTAAATGAGACTCAGCAGAGTACAGCATTTGTCAAATTATGAAGATATTGTTTCACCTTGCATGTCTCTAGCTGGCAGTTAACATATTTTCTGTGCCACCATTCAAATCCCTTTCAGTAGATTTGCAAGAAGAATGCACATTCCCAAATGGTAATCGTCTTAGTCCACTGCAGCAAAACAACAAACATCTTAAGGTCCAAAGTTCTTGAGCATAAACCTCTTGTGCTAGAACTTCTCCCTCTAACTTTTATGACTACCCCATATTTCTATATATAAGATCACTTGCCATGTTTAGCATGACTGAAAAAGAGGAAATGTTATGTCCTGTTGAAAAGCAAACCATTTCTCAACTACAGTGAAACCCACCCAAACATCTTTTCTTTTGCCCCATTCTATTAATGCTGTACCATTTTTACACACAGAGCTGTTAGTGCAAAAGTCACCATCCAAGGAGTGTAAATATATTTCATGCTTTGTTTTACAAATGTTCACATTGTCTCTCAGTATACATCTATTTATTTATTTATTTATTTACACACACACACACACACACACACACACACACACACACACACACACACACACATCTACTGGTATAATAGTGTAGTAGTGGGAGCGGGGAGCGGCGCATCAGAGACGATACTGTCCAGTTACCTAAGTTACTTGTTTGCTTCGTCATGCTGCAGTAGCACCGTAGCATTGTATGATAAGATTTCTGTACAGACCACTGATAAACAGCTACTCAGGACTAACTCTGTGGAATATAATGAAGTGTACATGTGCACCTGCCCTTTATGGGAATTTTTATGCCTTCCTGGCATGACAGTGTCAGGATAAGAACGTTTTTGCTTACTTGCTCTGCCAATGGAAATGTGTTAACTCCCATTCTCACAATTTACGTTCTTATGAATAGTTCCTCATCCTTTTGTCAAAGGTTCAGAAACTGCTGTAGTCTACAACCTTTCCAGAGGACAAAAAATGATTGTGAGAACCCTACAGTTCTGTATGGTTGCTCAGTTAACATTCCCATACCTCTCGAAATTGAAATGCTTGTCTCTCTTTGTTATTTTTGAGGCTTCTGTTATATTTACCAGCCAGAATAGTCACTCAGAAATTGTGTGTCATGTTTTCCCCAACTGCTGGAGACTGTTTTAGTTTATGCTTCATGTGTTCTGTTATGATACATCCACAGAGAAGTGGTACTACTGATGAACATTGGAACAAATTTTATTCTAAACTGGGGGGGATCTATTTTATGTCTTCTATAATCCAGTCCTATATGCTGGATTACACATTTGTTAACTGCATGATACTTCTCTGGGGTACAGCTGCATTATGGAAGTAATGTTGAGCTTGGGGTAAATATCTTGATTACTAGAGTGCACCAGCTGTACTCAAGCAACTGCTACCACAAACAACAGCTGTATTTTCGGTGCACTCAGTCATTATTTCTGCAATCCATGTCTGTCTTTGGGCTCAGGCCACTCCATATATAGAAATGGAAACATTCTTGGTCAGCACTGTATGGAGCAGTGCTGTATGGCTCTGGCAAGCAAATTATTCAGCTGCAGAGACCAAACAGGACGCCCCAGGAAAGCCTCCTTCAGTCAACCCACAACATAGGAGGGAAAGAAAATAGGCTGCCAGCATCATTTCTTCCAATTAACAGCTAGCAGCAGGGGAGAGGGATGCTTATGGAAGTGGCTTAATTTGGGGCCAGAGGGGAAAAGATACATCTTAAGACAGCAGCAGGAGAAAAAGTACACAGAATCAACCACAAAAGCATCTTCAGGGCCTTCTTTTAACCTGGACATTTTCTGTAAATTACAGCTCCTTGAATGTAAATGCCTGCCTAAGGTCAGATGCTGGCCTACTGCAGGCCAGGTTTTGTTCACAGTTCACCAATTAATTATAATGACTGAGGAGGGAACACATTACAGTACTTGGAAAATGAAGTAATCTATGAGAATCTCTACTTCTACAAAATATTTGCATGCTGTACGGACAGCTGGTATACTGTTGTCAGACCTGGGATTCCTAGATATTTCCAAAGGAAATGGACACTGTCACATTTCTTGTTTTGGAACAGTTAGTAAAAATTAGCTGTTGCTGAAGAGTTCAACATAAAACTAACTAACTAACTAGCTAGCTAGCTAGCTAACTAACTAACTAGCTAACTAACTGTAAATATACCCACCCACACACTCAAGTTTTGTGTGGGAGATTTTATTTCTCTTTTCCACTCCCAGGCTTTGCTCACAGCATGAAAACATATACTACAGTGGTTTGTTGGTTGGCTGGTTTTAGTAACAGAGAGATGAATTTGCATGGATGTGTTTCAGTTTATGTTGTACTAAGTTAACCCCTCAATTTCATTTTGTTAAAAAATATGCAGCATATTTTACTATACCTGAGTGGATCAGTTGAAAGGCTGCTTCTTGTTTCCAAGGAAGTCCTGAGATAGTTGCAAAAGAATAAAATTAAAATGTTAAACACACAACAATTGAAAAGTTTGCAAAGAAACCCCATATCGATTGAACATTATTTTAACATTGATGTAGGGCTTCTTTGTGTTTGACCATAATGTACTTTTAACATTGGTTTAAGATATGCAAGTTAGTGTTTTAAAAACTAGTTTAAAAATAATGCTTAGTTGAATGCCATACAAAGTAAGCTATTCACATGCCAAAGTAATGTTTTGAAAAACATTGTAATAGTCAAATACATTGGTATAAGCCCATGAAATCTAAAATGTAAATATTCATTTTTAACATTACAGTTTCTAGTCTGCTCTAACAAACACCAAATACTATTTTCAACTGTGTGCAATGACATATTGGGTGGTGCATTATATATGTTCTGGTTGAGAGATGTAGGTCACTTTAATATTTCTCTTTGATGATTTTAACATACATATATTTGTTTACCTTTCAGTTCCAAATACTTCTTTAAAAGTATTCCTATATAATTGATTTAATATATCAATACAATAGAAACAATTATGAATAATCTGGAAACATAAATAAAACAAAAAGGCCAAACATATTCAAGACTACTTAAAGTAACTACGGATGCCACATTGTGGGCAACGATGTGGTTTTTATGGTCAGCCACAGCATTTTGCCCACTGACCTGCATAGTGAGGTGCATGCCTTGACAGAAAGGTGTCTGTGGGGGAACAACCATAGATTGTTGCAGGAAAAGGTACATAGAGTCTTCAGCACCCGAAAGATCAACAGGGAGAGATGGGTACAAACCACCAACTCAGTGGTTTGTGCCAGTTTGTTCATGGACAAATAGGGTTCTGTGGTTCCCAGACCCACCTCTTCCAGTGGATGCCAACTCAGAGGCAGTGCCCCAGCTTCCCTGCCCCACCTCCTCCAGGTGCTGCTTCTGAGTGGGAGCCACTGGAGGAGGTAGGGCTGAGAACAACTGAACACCTGTTCGTCTGAAAGATGAACCAGCTCGAACTGCTGAACGTGCTTATCTCTACTTACTGGTCGTGAATTGTAGGGTCTTTCTGTGGTAATGGTGATTTAGTGATCACCTGGTGGCAGCAGTGAAAAGAGGGGATTGTTTGCCTTCGTGTGCTCTGAGGCTTGACGGTCAAGCAAGGGGCACGAGGGCAAACACCACAACCTTGTGCTAGTTATAGAGACAGCAGAGAGAAAATATCACCCTTTTTATCTCACTCTCACTTAGAGGGGAAGCTCTCTTAGAGCTTTAAATTTATTTGTTGATGGTTGTTCTTATGTCAAGAATGGGGATGTTAGCAAACACTCTTCACATGTGTAACTGTAGACTACTACATGACATGGATACTAATCTGATATTCTGAGGTGCCATACTTTTTTTAAAATTTTGTCATTATAAAGATGGACCAAGGTAAGCAAACACAGTGAAGCTGTATATGACATAATTGGCACTGAAATGTACACCTCCCTTAGAATCTGTAAGTTGAGCCATGGCAACTGGACTTCTTTCTTACTAGGTTGAAACGTTTTGCTACTCATCCCAATAGCTTCTTCAGTCTGAAGAGAGTTTGTAGGAGACTCTTGATATATCCTCCATGTTAGTTTCACTTCCCCCTGGTCTGAATAGGCTCCTTAGATGGACAAAGGAGAGGGGGTGAGTGAAAACCCCAATTCTGCAGTTTATTCAGACCAGGGGGAAGTGAAACCAACATGGAGGGGTTTCCTACCAACTCTCCTTAGGCTGAAGAAGCTACTTGGATGAGTAGTGAAACATAAATCTAATAAGAAAGAAGTTCAGTTGCCATGACTCAACACCCAGATAACTTCACCCAGATGACTGAGAGTCTTCACAGATATAATTCCTCAGAATCTATAACTTATGCCCAGGAAGCTTCTTTCTGGACAAAAATGTCAAGTGTGGGTTGGCCAGCTCCTTGTGTTTGCAGAGGTCTATCCAATACCTGTATGCACACAGCATACAACTGCATCATAGTCTATTTGCTTAACACCCCACTCGCCACAGCTCCTTAAATCCCTAGAAAAAAGCAGCTAAACTCTTTGTCTGAAGTGGTGGGATCCACTACAGTAATAAAATGGCAGTACAGGAGGGACTGGAATATAAGAAGAAGTGTCACAGAAGGGAATTAATTTGTGTTTCTTTGAGAAAGATCAGGAATAATTTTCCATTCCTAATACTACAAGTCACAATAAAACAGGACTTTAAAAAATTATTCTGTATTAGCTGTTATTTCTGGCATATCTGATGCATGTGACGTAACCACAGGGATTACAGTATTAATAAATAGTTCTTGTATTGGAAACATGGCAAAAATACAAAACAAAAATAATGCTGACATACAATCTGGGCGCATGTGCTCTGCTTATTAGCATTATTAGTCTCAATTCTGTAACTGTGCCATGTGTGAGAATCCCTCTGGACTCTCTCAAGAGAGGGAAAGACAAAAGATAGGGGCTCAGACTGAATTAATCATATCTAAGAAAATATAACCTGGGATCATTCCAATTTACATATCTGTTACACATAAATGGTTTCTTTCATTTTCAATATACCTAGTATATATAATAAGAGCTTCACAGAATAAGGAAATAAGTAAATTTCTTGTAAGATAGTTTTGTCAGGTGTAAGGCTTTCCAACAAGAAAAGCACAAAGAGATGCAAATTAACAAAAAGGCTTTGATATTTGATCTGTGAAAGAGCTGGCACAACTGGATGGCCTTTTGTTGTGCTTCCAGATTTGCCTTCCAGGAACAGGAAATTGACTCAGATTATGTTGTTAAATATATTAATAAATAATATTACTTATGTTATGCATTTAATAAATTTATAAACAGATTAGCTTATCAGAAATGACTTGAAATGACAATTATAATCAATTGTGCGAAAGAACTTTTTTTAAATGAAAAGGGGAAAATAGGCATAATCACATTTTCTTATTTTCACCTTATATATATATTATATATATTCTCTTGAGGACAAACATGAGAGTGGTAGAATATACCAGATGGGCGGGATATAAATCGAACAAATAAATAAATATATAAATAATAAATAAATACTTACAGTGCAACCATTGGGCCATACTGTACAGCTACTTAAAAGGGATTTTGATGTTTCCTATTCTGTGGAAACTATTCACAACATACAGAGCCTTTCTACACTGGCCTATAGTTATGATTCCCTGATAGCACTGTTCGACACAGAAAAAACAGACCTTGTCCATTTGTGTTTCTACTTAGAAGAACCTATCCTTCCTCTTTAAGAGTTGTAACATACTTTTCTGGCACAGGGATATAGCATGATATCTATTTAGGGCAATTTAGTGAGATGAAAAATAGGCCTTGTTTAGCCTTCCTGGATGGGTACTTTCACCAAAATGACACTGGGGTGGCATTGACTTAGGAGACAACCCTGTGATGTATTAGGTGGGTTATGGCAGTAAAAGAGAGCATGGAGAATCCCTCTCCTCTATTTTCATCTTCTTTTATCTTTATTATTTCCTTAACTAACACTCAAAGCCGCCCAGAGACCTTCGGGTAGTGTGGGCAGCATATAAGTTAAATAAATAAATAAAATAAATAAATAAATTCTAAAACCATGCCAGTTCGATGCACTGCCTTTTGATATACCACTTACTTTTTTTAACAAATGAAAAAGAAAGAAAACCACTACAGTCAGCTAAATGGCAGTCAAGAGAAATAGCAGGGAAGGGAGCTATGTTGACCCTTTGGCTCTGTCCCCACAAGGTGGTGCAACTCCAGCAGGCCCCTGGCAGAGGAGAAAGGGTTGTTGTTTTCCACCTCCCTTCTATCTTACCAGCCTTCACCTTAACGTTTTTCCCTCCCACTGCAGCTTTCCGCGGTTGCTGCTGTCTCCTTAACTTGTGAATAAACTAGGTAAAGTTACTACTGTATTAAGTAAATAACCTGGGTAAACCTTGCTTTGAATAGATCTCTAGCGCAGAAGAAGAGGACCCACTTTCCCTGTCCCTCCATAGAGGACCAGGAGAAGCTCTTAACTGATTGGGCTACATGGTGTCATTTACTGTGAGGATGGGAGGAGCATGCCAAATAGCACGTCTCCCCTCTCCTGCACCTCAGCAGACCCATTGTAGCCCAATCCACCCTACACCTAGTATTAAGAATATCCTATCTTGTCATTGTGACTTTTGAACATCTCACCCTCTTCACAGATTGACAATTTGTTGTTCATAATGAAGATATGCTAATAAGACTCAAAGCTGCACTGATTAGATGATCCAGCAGAGCTTGATTGTGACAAAAGACATTTTTGTGAGCACAGTTACAAAACAGGTTATGTACATATGCATTAAAAACAGCACACTCTCTTCTTAAAGCTAGAGACTAAGAAAAAGAGGCTATCTAAATAATAATACTCTTGCATACAAGCAAAGGCCCCCCCACACCAGTCCATTTTTAAAAACCATATGTTGTAAAAATAAAACTCATACTTCCATATGGGGCTGGGCCTTCTGACGTCTGACATAAAGAGCCCTGGAAAGCCCAACTACTCTCTACTATCCAGCTGAACATTAATCAGCTTGGTATCAAGTGAAAGATGCATGAAAATCTCCCACATACATGCTACTCATGTGTACAGTCACGGGTCTTGTGCTGAATTTTATTTTTTTTCTCATGAGACCTCCATGATCCTGCTCAAGAACAAAGTTTAAGCCTCTTTTCCATCACCAGTGATCTTCATCAAGGTCTCCCCTCACTGAGACAAACCACCAACTCCACTGCAATTCACTGTTGGTCCTGCCCACTTGTGCAGCCTCAGAAGGCTTTCTTTTGGGGCCAGTATTGACATGTGCTTGTACAAATAATATAATTTTTAACCTTTTTTTTCTTTTAAAAAAGCTTTGCTTGTTCCCGAAGAAAGCAATTACTTGACATCTTGTACATAACAAATCATAACATAACAAAAATTCATTTCCTGCTA